TATGTAGGTTTTTCATGATATTATGCAGGTGTTCTTACAAGACGTCAACTTGGAACTAGCAGTCGTTCACTTCATGCTCACTTATAGCAAGCGCGGAATGAACTATTTGCACACTAGCCTACTTAGTCAATAACTTGACATTTTATAGGGTGTCTTTTTGACATTATACGAGGGTGGTCCCAAAAGTATCCGGCCTGTCCTAGAGATGGCGATAGTTGTTTGAAAAATATCATTATATTAAAAAGTATGCAACATATAAAGCATATGTGTCAAGTTTGAAGACGCCACGTTGTTTAGTATTTGTTTGGCAGCCATCAATACTGAACGTTTTCGGTGAATTTATGAAAATGGAGAAAATTGGTCATCGTTATGTGGTACAATACTTTTATTTCAAAGGCCTCAGCCCAACCAATATAAAAGCTGAACTGGATTCTACTCTGGGTGAGTCTGCTCCTTCGTTTACAACAGTAAAATATTGGGTAGCAGAGTTTAAACGCGGCCGTATGAACTGTCAAGACGAGCATCGCAGTGGTCGACCAAATGAGGTGACGACTCCAGAAATGGTGAAGAAAATTCACAAAGCGGTACTGAATGATCGTCGACTGAAAGTGCGCGGGCTAGCAGACATAGTAGGCATTTCAAAAAGTGCGGTTCATCGCTTATTTGAAAATTTGGACATGAGAAAGCTGTGTGCAAGATGGGTGCCGCGATTGCTCACAATCGAGCAAAAACAGTGTCGTGAAGATCTGTCAATTGAGTGTTTAGCGAAGTTTCACAACAATAAAGCAGAATTTTTGCGTCGCTTCATAACCATGAATGACACATGGGTCCATCACTTCACACCAGAGACAAAAGAACAATCAAAACAATGGACTCAAAAGGGACAACCGGCTCCAAAGAAGGCGAAGGTCGTTTCATCTGCAGGCAAGGTTATGGCGTCGGTTTTTGGGATGCGCGTGGGATAATTTTCATTGGCTATCTTGAAAAAGGTAAAACTATCAACGGCGAGTATTATGCGAACTTATTGCAACGTTTGAGCGATCACTCAAGCCAAAATGGTCACATTTGGTTAAGAAGAAAGTGTTGTTTCATCAAGACAATGCACCAGCTCACAGATCCGTTATTGCAATGGCCAAAATTAACGAATTAAAGTTTGAATTGCTACCTCATGCAGCCTATTCACCAGATTTAGCCCCCTCGGATTATGCTCTGTTTCCAAATTTGAAAAAATGGCTCAGTGGTCAAAGATTTTCCAACGATGAAGAAGTGATGTCGGCAGTTAATGGCTATTTTGAGGAGCAAGAGAGTTCTTATTATAAAAAGGGTATCGAACTTATTGAACATCGCTGGGAAAAGTGTATAGAGCTCAAAGGAGATTATGTTGAAAAATAAATACATTTTTTTACAAAAATTTTGTGTTTTCTTCGTTGAGTCGGGTACTTCTGGGACCACCCTCGTATAGTAGCAGTGGCAAACTGCCAGAGGCGAACTAGAATTTTTAGAAAATCACATTATTTCTAAGACAGACCTCATCTGTCAAATACCTATAAAGGTGCTTTTGAAATGGTTTTGTCAATTCTTTCGTAAAGCTTCATTGCATTTAAAAAGCATAAATCCTAGTTTTGAACCGGTAATTTGATGCTTTACGTCCCCTATTAAAAATATTCCCTTTTTAAAACTGTGTAATTCCTTCGACATGTTGACTGATCGAAAACAGTGCATTTACTAACAGAACAAACGAACAGTGTTTTGTCATGTTCCAACGCAACTCGGCCCGGTTTGCCCTGCTTCTAGGCACATAAAACTTTATTTACAATTGTTTTGACATTGTTCGAGCAAAATTAGGGGGTATGAGTTTGAAAAAAAGAACTTTCATTTTTTTTTGGGACACCCTAATGAAGGTACTGCTGGGTGTTCACGGGTCGGAACCATCGGAAAAAATTTTGTGAAGAAAATTGAGTAAATTTTGAGGAGTTTGGAAGTTCATGTTTAGTAATCTCATTGATTTCATGAAAATGTTGCATTGTTTTGTTGCTGGAAATTGAAAACTCCATGGTACATCAAATTTCGATCTTCCGATTTAATATGATCCTGGGAAACCTGAAAAATCCCAAAATGAGCATTGAGCATGAGATGAATGAGTATTTTAGTAAAAATGAGTAAAAACGAGAATAAGGAGTCTGTGGACACCCCTAGCCACTGGGTTATATAATGCAGCTGAACACCTTGCCATTTCATAACCACTATAATTTTTTCAATACATATTTTTCTGTCAATCCATCATGCCATCATTATCTTCCTGTCTGACATGATAAATTGTCTGAGGATGAGTTCTCGTTTCAACTCTGAGCCAGTGAAAATATGGTTGGCTTAATATACCCAAGGAGCTCTATAAGAAGTCTCGTTTTAGATATTATTTGCAGCGCTTCAATTATTATCTGGGGATCCACGAATAAGAACCATCTAAATTCTTTACAAATAATACAAGAATTATTCATAAAAACAATGCATAACAAACTTACATCATATCCCTCCAAATCGATGTTTATAGAATCCAAAACTTTTGGATATAAAAAAATTATTTTGGTGTATCGTTATAGTAGCATTCCATAAAAATAAACATTTAACCATTTATAAAAATAATGAATATGACACTAGATATAAAAAGAATCAAATAATTATTGCAGCATCAAAAAACGAAATATTGTTGAAGTCATTTATATACTTTGGTCCAAAATTATATCATAACTTACCAACATATGTAAGAAAAAACAGAATATGTCATTATTAAAATGGGTTTATACGAGTGGCTATTGTATATAGATATAAGCATGATGTAAGTTATAAAAATTCTAACTTATGATTATCTATTTTTTACGCATTATGCGTTATATTATATGAATGATATCCACGAACAAGGATATTTTCCGTTTGTGAAATATCAATTTATTCGCAGTTTATAATTAATATGCTTAAATATTATTCCATAAGAATATAATAGAATAATGCTTTATTTCTACATGGCATGAAAAAGTTTTCATACAGAAACACAAATAAGAATAATGAGTTGCTCGCAAAAAAATTTATTTGTACTATAAAATGTCTGAATTAGTAAAATTTTCGTAAGTTTACTTTTAAACAAAGGTCAGCTAATAACCTGCTTAATATCTAAAGGCTGTTTATTATACATGACACTACATACTTATAAGGACTAAGATACAAATCAAATATTAAATATTACAGACAGGAATCTAATTGAATTTTGAATGTTTTCTGACTTCTGAAAAAATCCAATTTATTAGAATACTGATTTGCTAACCTTGAAGATCTAGACAGGAAGGAATTACTAGCATAATTCGTACGAAATGATCTCGCATGGAATGGTTGATTCAGTCTTGTTTGACGAGAAGGCACATGGAGATCAATATTTTTCAAAAGTTCTGGAGCAAAACTAAGAGAGTGCAAAATATTATAAAATAGTGACAGGTCCCTCTGATTCCGTCTTACCTGGAGGCTTGAGATATTGAGAGAGCTTTCAATGACGGAATAGATTATATCTTCAACCATAATGTTTTGTTTGAATGAAATGAATCTTAAGAATTTGTGTTGCACTCTCTCAATTGCCTGAATATGAACATTATAGTTGGGTGACCAAACACAAGAACAATACTCCAAATGGGACCTCACCAAAGAACAAAACAACGTGACTGACTATTATGAAAATCTTAGCACATCCTTTTATAAATCCCAACAGTTGAAGAGATTTAGAAACAGTCATATTTATGTGGGTAATAAAGGATAATTTTGGGTCAAGAATTACCCCTAAATCCCTAACTTGGGATACACTCTTTAGAAGACAACCTTTCATGGTATAAGTATGATCAATGGGGTCCCTGTTACGGCTGAAGACCATTAAATGACATGAGTTTTCCACATTAATTTCCATTCTATTCATTTGACACCAGAGACTTTATGAATTCAAATCATTTTGGATATTTGAACAATCATTATTATATTTGATTTTTAAGAATAATTTCAAATTAATTGCAAACATTAGAAAATTAACAGACTTAAAACAGTATATAATATCATTCATGTATATATTGAAAAGAAGAGGTCCCAGATGGCACATTAATCTCATTTGATTGAAAGCTTTGTATACGCACTATTTGTTTTCAGTCAGTGAGGTAAGACTTCAGCCATGATAAAAGAGTGTATATCTCACTGTGCTGTATTAATAAATCTGTGTTTTCTTTAACAAATAAGCATGACTCTTGGATCAATATTGATGGTAACGTTAAAATTTTATTGTCTTTAAATACTGATGGTCTACAGCTGTCCAGTGGATTAAGACCAAAGACCAATTAAATCAGCCTCTTTTGCAAAATGAATATTCTCTGTATGCCACAAGAAATGCCCCAAAATATAGTCAAGTATCGTATGTGGCAGTACGCCATTGCAAAATAAGTATCAAGGAGACACCTTCGAATAACTAGGTTTCTTAATACAAAGTATGCCGAGTCAAGCTTACTAGCCACGTACTGTATGTGTGTTTTCCAATAATGTATTTCGTCCATGTAGAGACCTAGGCGTTCTATCTTATCTATGGCAGAACTGTCTAGCGTGAGCGTCAGAGAACGTACAGTTCGCATTTTATAGAAAACTATGTACTTTGTTTTGGATGTAATTACTATCAACTTGTTTCGCGCAGTCTAAATTTTAGTAAAATAATATATGCCTTATCTTCGAGTTGGCGAGTGACCTTCCGGTCATCTGCGTATTGTACTTCTCTGACGGCCTCACTAACCAAGCTCCCACTCGTATCATTTATAAACAGCAGAAACAAGAGGGGTGATAGTATATATCTCTCAGGGACCTCCAAGTTTCTTTCAATTGTATCTGATGTGGTATTACTCCTACTTTCATTTTCCTGTTCGATACAAAAGATTTTATCCATGCATCTTTTCGTGACCTGATTATTTCTTTATTTTTTGTTCTAGGAGTTGCAAATGTTTTGTTGACGAATCCTCTATGGGTAGCTAATAACCGTTTAAAGTACAAGGAAGAAGTTCCATTCACTGGCCTTTTGGATGGAATGTTTCACATAGGATCAACTGAAGGGATATCAGCATTATGGAAAGGAGCTGCTCCATCACTCATGCTTGTCAGCAATCCTGTCATACATTTTACTGTTTACGAGGCTTTGAAGAGGAGAGTCAAAGTAAATTCAGCCATTGGATTTTTCCTACTAAGTAAGTTATCTACAATCCTGACCTATACATTATTAAAACTGTTACTTATTATGCATTCAGTCTGCGAAAATAAAAAGCTCGCAAACCATGGCCTAACAAACAAGATTAAAAATCGCTTCTGAAATGAATTTTGTGCCGAAACTTTTAGGACATACGTTCAAATGTTTTTATCGAATCTCCATTTCGAAGACGTACTGATTACGCGAATATTTGAAAAACAGAATGTCGGAAGAGAATTTGAAATAATAATGCTTAGTTTCATCTGACCGTTTGTGTTTATCATAGGTTCAGATTTATTGTTAATTGTGACGAATAGTGTGCAGTATTTCCAGATACTAATTCATTTTAACGAGTGTGGAATACGTATGTTGTATAAAGTGAAACGGGTCTGCTGGCGAGGTATCCTATTGTGTTAGGGCAAATTCAACTTCAGTGTCATTGATCTGCATTGATTATCATAAATATGGTTATAATTTATTAAAATTGTGATTGTATCATTGAAGAACGATATGCGGATTAAGTAAAGTAGCAAAAACATGTGATAATGGAAGATAATTGAGCAGTTTGTTAATAACCTATATATCCTATTTTTCGATTTTCTAAGGTGTTTATGTTTGTTTAGAATTTGCTTCTATCATCTACAAGGTGTGTTTATGATACTTGTTTCTGTTTAGCCAATTTTTGATGCGGTTTTACGAAAACGATTCCTGATTATTGATCCGGATTGGAAAACTATGTTTTTGTTAGCTAGATCAGGTGATTTATGAAGGATTTCTTGATTTAATATCGGGATTAGAGGTCCTTAAAACCCGTATATTTTTTTGCTAGTTTGACAGACATTTTATAAGAAATCGACTATATTCATTTGATCCATTACTGCAAAGAAGACTTCTCATTCGTCTATTATGATCCGGATCAAGATTGTCCGCGGATCATTAGTAAAATGGCTTATATCGTGAAAACGGCCAACAATTGAGAAAAATTACTGAGAGCCTTTTTTACTCAAAATGATTGAAAAAATCCAAAATATATGATCGGAGCGAAAGGGAAACTTTTTTAATTCAACAAAAATTGTTTAAACAAATTCTAGTATGCACACATCCGAATCAGAATATAGATACTACCTTGATTGTCAAGGACGATAACTTATGGCTGCGCATAGCTATTGGATTTGAGGAAAATGCAAATAATTTTTTGTCAGCTAAAATTACTTATTCCACGATATCAAGTGATCATTTTGGCACAGATGCTGGGATATTTGTTTGTTGAAGATTCATTTAGCAGTAATGCTACAATGTCAATGTTGTAAAATTATTCGTTTACACATCTGTTTGAATCAATTTTCTATAGTTTTACATTCTTGTCTATTAAAATTGCATCACTATGCATTTTACAGTGATTTTTTAATTTCACCTTAAACATTTTTAAATTCGAACACAGTTTAATATCATTATTGAATTTATTAAATTCAAATACTCCCTTTTGACATACAGATTTGCTAGTTATGCTACTATTACAATTTTGCAGATGAAAAAACATACTGCCTCTGGTTTTGTAGTTATGATAATGACTATTTAATTTTTTGAAGTTTTCTAAATGTGGTGGTAATGAATTACTTTTTAATTTGAATATGAAAACTAAATAACATATGAATTTTTTTATATTCAACCACTGATGTAGTTCTAACAGAAACTTAAACCTAGCATATTGGTTTTTATTTAAAATGATTCTCATAGCTTTATTTTGTATAATTTGTAATTTTGAAAATATATTGTTATTTGCTGTAAACAAGATGGTTGAGCAATATAAAAATCAGGAAGAATTATAGTGTAATACGCATTTTTTTTGGAATACATACTGAGATTATGACAAACTCTATAGAAGTAATTTATCTTTTTTGATTTTTTCATCATTAATCATGACCCTAATTATATTATTATCACCTAAGTGTTTTCCTATTATACATGCGATTTTTTTTCATAATCGCCTTGTTCAGTGTCCTTTGACATGCTTAAAAGATAGCCGGTCAGAAAATTATTTCAACAATTTTTTGGAACAAATTACAAAAAACAGTAATCGACTGTAGATTGACTTATGAAATGTTACTCTAGAATGCTGTGAAACTTTAATTTCACTGATTAACAGTCCCAGAAATACCCTAAATAAAATCAACAAAATATTACTATTTTTAATGTGCTAAAACCGGAATGAAAGATGATGTAATCGGCATGATTGTGTTACGTTATACATACGTGTACATTATATTGTTTTATATTAGCCATTTTTTCCTCAGTTGGCTGACAGCGTTCATGCAAGATGTCTCGAAAGTGTGTAAACAATCCAGATCAGTTTTGTTACGTGTGTGGTGATGTGACTTTTGCGTCTCAGAGACGGTCTATTACTCCACTAATAACAAAGGCATATCAGCTTTATTTCGGTTGTAAACTAGGTGATCAAGACAAACAGTGGGCACCCCACATCTGCTGTAATACATGTGCTTCAAGTCTGAGGAGCTGGTTAAATGGCAAAAAACGGTCTATGCGCTTTGCTGTCCCAATGGTTTGGAGAGAGCCTACAAATCATATTAATGATTGTTATTTTTGCATGGTACCTTGTGTTGGACAAGCCACAGGTATGTCCAAGAAAAAAAAATCAGTTATTAACTACCCAAACATACAATCTGCGATGAGACCTGTGCCTCACAGTGACGAAAATCCTATTCCAAAACCCCCAGAATCCTACACTTGCGAATCAGAAAACGAATCAGATCATGGCGATCGAGTGATTCGTCAGGAAGAAGATATGCCATCAACGTCAAGAGATCCTGATTTTATACCGAGCACGTCATGCCACCAACGCACAAAATAACACAGTCAGAATTAAATGATCTTGTAAGAGATTCAGAACTTCCAAAATGTAAGGCAGAGTTACTTGGATCAAGACTGCAGCAGTGGAACTTGTTAGAAGACGATGTTTCGGTATGTGTTTTTCGTAAACGCCACAAAGACTTAGAACCATTTTTCAATATGGAGAATAACTTGGTTTTCTGCAGTAACATTAACGGCTTACTGGCGGCTTTAAATATAAACTATAACCCAGAAGAATGGAGATTGTTTATAGACAGTTCAACATTGAGTTTAAAGGCAGTGTTATTGCATATTGGAAATATTTTACCATCTCTTCTTGTAGGGTATGCAGTTCACATGAAAGAATCATATGACAATATGAAGTACCTATTGACATGCATAAAATACGATGAGCACCAATGGCATATTTGTGGCGATTTGAAAGTTGTTGCACTTTTACTTGGGCTGCAGCTAGGCTACACAAAGTTTTGCTGTTTTTTGTGTGAATGGGACAGTCGGGCAAAGGCACTTCATTACACCAGACAAAACTGGCCTGTTCGTCAATTCCTAGAGCCAGGTCAAAAAAATGTACAGCATATGCCATTAGTAGATTCGAAAAAAATTTTATTACCACCACTGCATATCGAGTTGGGCCTAATGAAAAACTTTGTCAAGGCATTAGATAGAGATGGGTCAGCTTTTCAATACCTGCGTCAGAAATTTCCAAGACTAAGTGAGGCAAAGGGTTAAAGAAGGTATTTTTGTTGGGCCACAGATTCGAAATATTTTGAAAGATACACAGTTTGAAAACACTTTAACAGGTATTGAAAAAACTGCTTGGAATGATTTCCGTCTGGTGGTCACTAATTTCTTGGGAAATAGAAAAGCTGACAACTATAAAACCCTTGTCAAAAATATGCTGTCATCGTATCAAAAGATGGGCTGTAATATGTCTCTTAAGATACATTTCCTACACTCACACCTGGACTTTTTTCCTGACAATTGCGGAGCCGTAAGTGATGAGCACGGCGAACGTTTTCATCGGGATATTTCAACAATGGAAAAAAGGTACCAGGGAAAGTGGAATCCTTCCATGCTTGCAGACTACTGTTGGACTCTTGGTAGAGATGCTCCAGAAACGATCCATAAAAGAACAGCAAAAAGACAGCGCATATAGTGATTCTTATAAGTACATGAATCTTGTTACTGTTTTTAATATATCCTTAAAAATAAAAAGTTTTTTTTCTAAACCGCAACTATTTTTTTTATTTCATTGTCATTTTTGGATTCAGCGCCCCAAAATTAACAAAGAAGTGCACTTTTCCCACAAGATACAATTAAAAAACTAAAATTTGTTGTCCAGTGTTTTTTTCAACCTGACAGTTTCACATATTGGTTGAGAGCATAGCTGTAAGAACAATTCAGTAAAATTATATATAAAGGTAAGGTCATTAAAATCACAATCAAAATTGAGGCTAGGATCAAATTGGTCTAGTCTCCTTGGTAAAAAAGAATCAAATTGATGCCATTTAAGTCACAAAAATTTACTTAATGCCCTTCTAACTATTTGTCACAGAATTATTATAAGAAACCCTATTGAGATGAGGTAGCCCATTTATCGCGAAAAATATACAGGGTGTCCGCAAAGTTGGGGTTTTCCTTTTCAGACAACTATGGTTGATATAACAAAGCTAATATGGAATTAAACGAGCGAACAAGTAAAAAAATAAATGTAAAAGTACCCACTGTTCAGTTGAATTGAAATTCCAAGTGCTACTTCTACTGACCACACATGTGTGACTAACATGGACTTCAAAAAGTCCGGATTATTGCCATGTTGGTGCAACAACCACTCTCAAAACCGCACTCTTGCTGGAAAATCCTCAGCTTGGAGGCCTTGTACACGTTGCACGTGAAACGGATACAATCCCTCATCATATAGTGTTTGCCACACTTTAGTCTTCGCTTGCACTTGTCTAGCCACGTCCCTAGAGCTTGTTGAAGGGTTCTCGTCTACGAGATTCGGTACTTCTTCCTCAGTTTGCACCGTTCGGAGTTGTCTAGGTCTCCCACTGTGCCCACCTCGACATTCATCCATAGGACCCGTATCCCTGAGTCTCTGCACAAGGTAAACAAATCTACGGGGTCTTGGATGATGAGGTCTGGGAAAACGATCGGCATACACTCGCGAAGCCTCGGTCGCATTTTGAAGACACTCACCAAAAATTAATAGCATGCCGACTAGTTCGCTATTGGTGTATGAGCGTGCCATTTTTTTTATCTTTGAACAGAAATCCGTTACCAATGAAATGGTTTATTGACTTACACAACCGGCGTCTAGGATAGCTTGCAAACTAGCGTATTTACATCGTAGTCGTACGTCGGATAAGTGTACGCTGTGGACGTGATCGAGGGTTAGGACAGGACCGGCTTCGGTTTGGTTGAGTTTGTGGAGCCCAATATCTGAATAGTCTTGTAATTCTAAGGACTTTTTGATAACCAAATAATGAGAATGACAAATGGCAATGTTATTCCCAAGGTTCTGAGTTCGGGAAGAAACTTTTGACGTTCCAGAAGGATTACTTTATTCTATTTCCGAACGCATAAAACATATACAGTAATGGACAAAAGTATATAGACAAATTAATATTATGCTGTTTTTCTTTTTTAACTTGTTTTATTAATACACCAACTTATATACGTATACATAACTCGTTATAGCATAATACTCACTTATACATAAATAAATTCATTAGAATCCCTCAAATAAAAAATTAATTGAAAAAAACTGGAATTATGAAGGACAAAAATATATAGACAAAGCAAAACAATTATAGGAAAAAGAAGCAAAGTTCATTGAATTATAAAAAACCAACCATGTGTGTTAATATTTTGTAGCATAACCATTATTATCAATCACCGCCTGGCTTCGTCTGGGCATACATTGTAGAAGTTTTTTGATTAATCAATCTGTCTCCACCGTTGCTCTAAAGCGACAAAAAGTTCATCCTTGTTTGAATAATTTTTATCTCGTATTTGCGTATCTAAGTATTCCCATAGATTTTCAATGGGGTTTATCTCGGGAGACTGTGAAGGCCATTTGAGAACTGGTATCTTTTCATCCAGAAAGAATTTCTTTGCGAGATTTGAAGTGTGCTTCGGGTCATTATCTTGCTGGAAGATTGATCTTAAGGGCATATTGTCTTCCATATAGGGTAACATGACATGCTTTAGTATGTCTGTGTATACAAACTTATCCATAATGCCATCTATCCTATGTAAAGGTCCCATCCCAAACCTCTAAAAGCACCCCCAAACCATAACCGACGCGCCTCCATGTTTGACAGTGGGCAAAGTGTACTTGGGGTTCAATCTTTGTCCACTAGGACGTCTAACCAAATGAAAACCATCTGATCCAAGCATATTGAACGTGAATTCGTCACTGAAACATACCCTCTTCCAGTCACAGATGCTCCAATCAAGATGCAACCGTGCAAATTGTACTCGGTCCTTACGGTTTTTCCTCGAGATTAGTGGCTTCTTACTGGGGCGACGTGCAAATAACTTCAAATCATTTAATCTTCTACTTGTAGTTTTCGTAGAAACACTTACAATTTCTTTTGTCTCGATTTCGGCTTTTATTTGTCTTGGGGTTTTAAACGGATCTTTGGACGAAATTACTTTTATTAATCTAACTGATCTAGCATTTAGTTTTCTAGGCCGAGGCTTCTAAAATACCTTTTTGTTTATATTTGTTCAATATTGCCCAAACTGCTTTACGCTTCAGCTTCAAATTTTTGGCAATGTCGACTTGACGTTGACCATCTTTGTATAACTCAATGATCTTAGTTTTCACATCGAAAGAAATTTCGGAACCACGCGGCATGGTCTTAAAATCACTCAACTTATTCCACAATACTGGATGAACACAAACTAATCCTCTTCTGACACGAAACTGTACTAAACTAATGTTGAAAAAAATTCGTCTACATATTTTTGTCTCTCATAAAAAAGTGCTTATATTCAGACTTGTATTGTGTTCATTGCAGATAATGTAAAAACAAGGAATTTAGTTTTTCTACTAATAACGCATTTGTTTACGGAGCAATGAAGTATGAATTCGTTTTCTAAAGGTATTTAGATAATATTCATATTTGTCTATATACTTTTGTCCATTACTGTACGTCAAACAGTTGCGCACGTTAGTACTGTTACAGAGTAGTACAAAGTACATTCTGTAACAATTTAAAAACGCAGCCCAGTTACCACTTTAAAGCCTCCCATAGTCACGTCAAAGTCCTCGCAATGTTTAACGAAATTAATCAATTTGACACATTTTGTACTTTTTAGGTGCCGTATCGAAGTCCATAGCAACGCTTATAACTTATCCTTTGCAACTGGCCCAAACAAGACAGAGATTGATGAAAAAACGTCTGGGTACAGCCGCCCTTCTTCTTACGATTTTGAAGAACCAGGGTCCTAAAGGATTATACCAAGGGATGGAATCTAAGATGTTGCAGACTGTACTATCGACAGCTCTTATGTTTGTAATGTATGAAAAAATCGTGCAGTTTGTTTTCAAACTGCTTCTAGGGACCGCGAAAAGGAAAGCAATGAAGTGATAAAAATGTTAAGACTAAGAGAAACATGGTGTATTGAAACTTGAATTAATATTCCCACAGCATTAAAATTTTCCATAAGATAAGTCCAAAACAAACACACATGGCAAACAGAATATCAAGCTTATTACTGCGTCATGTGTAGTTTTTTTTTAAAAAAAGCTTGCTACATCATAACTGGTGTGATGATTTATGTATTCAGTTATCTGCCATAGACAGAGCAAGTTTCAGGTGTATAGTTTCGGTTTTCAATAAAGACTTAGACATGGACGAGAGCGGATGAATAAGTCCGTGATTGTTTGAATTAAACACAGGTTTTTCAACAATTTCATTTCTCAACCTAGAATCGTTTGAGCTCTATACATTATGTTCAACGTTTTCAAATTTTTAATCTCTTCAAAAAAATAAGATTTGTCGGGGTCCTCAAAAAGGTATTTGTGAAATGATTTCATAGTCATAGTCAAATTCCTTTCTGCTCAGCCATTTCTAAAGGTTTTGAAATAAGAAATACTCACAAAATTCAGATAACCACCTTTTTTTGATTGAAATTGATGGTGCAGAGTCCCATATTATTTATCAAGCTTAACCATGGTTTGAGTTACGGTTTTTCCCGCAAAAAATAATTCTTGATGAGCACACGAAATTCACTTTTGACCATTTTCTTTACAATTCACGCGTTCTTCTGCAATCGGTGGCTGACAAACATAAACTAAATGACGCAGTTTGTTCAGAATTTGACAGGAGCAGTGTCGCTCTTCCGTTAAGCGGCGGGAAATTCAAAAAGTCACGGACTTATTGACACAGCCTCGTATAAATATTTTCCCCACAGATTAATTTTTCGGGCATGCATAAGGTAAAAGATTTTCCATTAAGGACTTGACAACTTTCTTTTGAAATAAAACGCAAACCATATCAGATATCTCGAAAAATGTATTATTGGATTGAAGCATACTCAAAACATTTATGCGTGGAATTCGACCTCGTTCAAATGTCCACCATGGGCACGTACGTAGCGATCGATTCGTTGAACCCAATTTTCAATGATTTGGCCACACATTTCGACAGCTATCTCTCCTTCAATATTGACACCGACCTCCTTTAACGACGTCGGCTTGTTGGCATAGACCAATTATTTAATGTAGCTCAAAAAAAGTCTAGATGTGTTAAATCACTCGATCTAGGCGGCCATTAGACATGACCATTTCTCGATATAACACGTTCAGCGAATTTTGATTTCAGTATGTCGATTGTATGGCTTGTGGCACCGTCTTGTTGAATTGTTCCTCAGGGTTCGGTCCTAGGACCAATCCTTTATTCGCTTTATATCCATGATGTCCCTTGCTCCATCAACTGTGAAGTCTACCTGTATGCTGAGGACACTGCACTTGTCGCCCAGTCGTACTGATTCACGATGGGTTGCAGAGTGCGGTGGAAGAAGTACTAGAGTGGGCGGAACGGTGGCTGATTAAAATTAATCATTCGAAAACGCAGGCTATTTATTGTACCAAAAAAGCCGTAAACATTCAAGGCCACGGCTCGCACTGTAATCAAAAATTAGCGCAAACTTTTAGTAAATTTAAAATTACACTATTAACAAAACCGAATTTGTTTAGTTCACCTCAAAATTAATCCGTGTACCAAGTCAAAAAGCCTAGGTGTTTACTCTTAAACTGAACACTTCTGTTTTTCTTTGCTCTTCTCCTTTTTTCTTCTCTTTCCCTTTATCTTTTTCCTTGACATTGTCTGGTTTCTGGGCAACCAGGACTGACAGATTCGACTAACGTACATTAGACAGTGACTAATGGGCAAAGGTCCTACGGAACGCCCAGACAAACAAATGACGAATAGAACCGTCTTGTTGAAACCACATACCATTTTCTAGCTCATCCAATTGACCAAAAAATAACGTTGCAACAAAACCACACCATACAGTTATTTTTTGTGGATGAAGTGGTGCTTCTTGAAGCACATGAGGGTTTTCACCTGACCAATAACACATATTCTGTTTGTTGACAAAGCCGTTTAGCGAAAAATGTGCATAATTACTGAAGATGATTTTGCTATGAAATTTTCTTGCAATATTTCTAGAGCCCAATTCGAGAACGTACATCGGTTAACTTGATCTTATAAGGGTGCAGGTCAAGATCGCGAGTGGTCTGAGCGATGCACAATTCTTGAGAACCCTGTGGAACCGACGTGTTCTGTTCGTTTCGGATGGAAGCTTGAACGGCAACAATATACTCGGCAGTTCGACTAACTCGTTGTCGCACTGGCACGGGGACATCCAGCAGCGAATATGTGGACTAAATTCTTTTTACTAGACTATGAACTGCTTGTCTACTGGGACGAGAATTACGACAAAAAATTGGAGTCAACGCTCTTAAAGTTGCAGTCACCGTTTCGGTAGTAAATTTGAATTATTTGTAAGCGTTGTTCGTTCGTGTACATCACCATGATGAAAATGTTTTCTTTACTGAATGCTTTGACATTGACAGTTCGGTAATTGATTTAAAGGTGCGTTCACAGTGAAAGTTCAAAGTTGTCAAGTCCCTATTGTAAAACCCAATACTTTTAAGACATATTTGGTATATCCTCCATAAATTGCGTTATTCTTGTTTTCCTTCAGAAAGTATCTTATTGCCAAAGAGAAACTACAATCTTGGGATACACGCCACTTTAAGGTTTGCTAGAAAATAGACAGGTGAAGAGATAACAAAAAAATGGGTAGATGTTTATTAAGGAGCTTATCTTGCCTACGAGTACTCTACTACTTTGAACAATTCCTTTTTTTAGATTTTTAGATATTAGTTTCTTTGAAAATCCATTTCCCACGTTTTTATTTTAATCCGTATTTGTGATTATAGTCAACCAGGTAGGACTGTATTAGTGTTCTCTCCCTCAGGAGAGATACTTTCATGTAGCGTTGGTGCTCGGGGCCCTCGAACATGCGGCGCTTGTAGGATTTACTACGCTTGTTAATCAGCGCCAATTGCACCGACGAGCGGCCGGCGATCTGGCTTTCGGTTACTGCAGTTTTGTTTCCATAGTTATCATTTTCTTCTTTTTTTATCATGACAAATGACCTAAATACCGAGGTAAAGACACCTTTCGCCAATAACTGGGAAAAATCCTCTGCAGATTGGAACAAAGGAGCGGTCGCACCGGCCAGCTCTGGATGTACATTGGTCAAAACTAAAATTCCACGATCTGGCTTGGCGGGTCATATTTTAGATAGGGCTTACTTTTTTCGGTTCGGTCTAGCTTTAAGTTTGGAGATTCGGTAAAAATGTGAATTTTAGCGTTTTGGCAACTATTCAATTTTCTCGCTACCCCCGTCATTGGAAAAGTATTTGGCCGAACCTTAAAATTTTGAGCGCGTCTCCAGACCGAACCTAGGACCCTGAAATTTTACAAAGCCTCGTGCCTCCATATAAACTCTCGAGGAAACACAATTGAGCCTGATCTCAGATATGAACCGCCAAGCCAGATCGTGGAATTTTAGTCTTGATCCATATATAAATGTGGTTGGGTCTTCACCTCGCTGTTTAGGTTTCTGCATCAGCATGAAAAAGGAAGCAAATGACTACATATCGGAAAATAAAATATTAGGTAACATACCTGGCGATTTGAAAATATATTGCTCAATGTTGACTATATATAGAGATGCCAAAGACCTCAAATGAGATATTACCAGTGTATTTGTATAATTTTCAATTGTTGTGTTACTAGTCTATCAATTTGTTATGAAAATCTGTTTTTATTTAAACATTTTATGTTCTCATTAATAAATGTTTTGGAGTAATTTGATGTTTTATTCACTAATTTTACAACTTCTTCTGTTTTCTGGGCCTAGGAGGATTCCATGATACCCTGGTACTATCAGTTATTGACACGATATTCAATCCAGACATTTGTAATCCCTTAATCGCTGCCTGAAAATAAAAATTCATTAAGAGATCAATTACCCTAAACTTTAATAAGCATATAAATTAAGCATTTGAAAATGGCAGTTTTTATTACTCAACAACCAATTATTGAAACGTGTCAATATTCTTCTCTTGGTAGGATCTATCCTGATTCAGGGTGTTCATTTGGAAACTTCCCACCACGGATTTATCGAAAACCATTACGACGAGACACGTCAAAAGATTTGTCAATGGGGATAACTTTTCAATCAAAAATTTCTTCACTACCTTTCACCCTCTGCCACCCAGGGTCAGCCCCTTAAAAATTTTAAATGACAAGGGGTATCGCCGTTTGTAAAAATTTCATGGTCCACAGATATTTGGAAAAAACTAAAATCTGGCTAAAACACTTTATTTTTTTCTGTCTTCATTTTACGAGATATCAAAAAACTAATGAAACTTTTCCATTGGAACTTTTTAGGCACATGATGGGTGTCTTTAAATTTGGTTCCCAATGGTTCGTTTTTGAGAAATCATTATCAACTTTATTTTTTTATATGGTCAGAAAAAAGTACACCCTGGATTTGAATGCACTTTTTATACAAATTGAACGATGTATCACAATAGATTACATTTATTTTCTTAGTTATAAGGAAAAATGCGTTTTTTTTGATTTTTTTAAATTAGGCGTTGCAAACAGATGCTTGACTTGACGTAAATACCTTATTATTATTATTACGTATTGTTAATATTGCTTCAATATCGTCTCATCACAAAAAAAGACATCTTTAGAGGAAACTCAGAATAGTGTTTCACAAGCAGTTGCTGAGAACTCCAAGATATCAACTAGGCAAATTAAGAAAAATGTAGGAGTAGCCAAATTCATAGCGTAAAAGTTACGATAATTTGAGATGCAAGCATTCAGTATGATTACACCATACATGTTACACAATGTTAGAAGATCATAATAATAATAATCAATTTAATTCAAGTGACCAAATACATACATCTAATTTTACAGATTCTAAAGATATTTCTGTTTAGAAAATAATGGCAACCTATTTGAACACCTATTGTGAATAAATTAAAAATAATGTTAAAAATGTATTTGTTATTCTGAATACCACTAGATTAAACAACATTTTTAAAAGTTTACTCAATCATATCATGTAATATGCATCTATCTACCAGTAATCATATAATCTTACATAAACCATTTGTTTGCAACACCTATTTAAATAGAATAAAAAACACATTTTTCTTTATAACTAAGGAAACAAATGTAACGTGATACATTGTTGAATTCATAGAAAAAGATATCAGATACAGAGTGTGCTTTTTTTTGACCATATAAAAAAATAAAGTTGATCATGGTTTCCCAAAAGCAAAATGTCAAGCACACAATTTTAAAGTGCCAACAAGTTCCATTAACTTTTTGATATATCTTATTCAGAAAAAAATAAAGTCGCTTTGGCAAAATTTTAGTTTTTCCCAAAATGCCTGAGTAAGCCGAAAAATTTTTACATGTTTCTCAATGGCATGTAAATACGCCCCAAAGGATGTAGCAAATTTAACCTAGGCTGGATCTCCCACCCACAGGGTGAGATCCCCGTGCATATAATCCTTACCTTGGACACACTGTATATTGCTGTATCTTAGTGTCAAATTACCTTCCTAGACCTGAATCATGAGATGTGCGCCCTCAGATGAACATCTGCCTAAGCATGCTGCGACCACCACTCTGATCCCGCTCCGTTCCCCCCCTCAAAAGACTGAGTGATTCTCTAACCCTATCCAGTAGTCAGTATATCTGATGTTTGACATGTATGACAGTGCCCACTATGAACCTCTTGGACCCAATGGTCAGGTTCACATTTTAAATATCTGGCTTAAATTTTGGTGTATAAGAACCAACTGTTCTAGGTTTTATTTTCCCTTGTAGTAATCCCAGATTCACTCCATATTGGTCTTTTGTTTGAAAGTAATTACAGATTTCAGAAGAAAAGAGTTGGCTTGCCAACCTTATCGTCACTGTGACCCAAGTAGATCTATTGTGATCCCCTTATATACTTTCTAAAGCACTGTGACACAGGAGATGCATTGGTGTTTCCTCATACTCTCTGCAGAAATGGCATGTGGCATCTTCTGCCAAACCCAAGTCAGTCAGAAGACTCTCTATGGCCCACATGACCTTCCTATTGAATCTAGCTCTTTAAGAGTGTACATGCAATCCCATACTAGCTTAGACGATATTTGTGATTTGCCTTTACGCTGTCCAAGCAGATGACAATGGACTGAGTTGCAGTCTCATTTCTTATTAGCTCTTTTGCACAGACTTTTTTGGCAATTACTTCAGACCGAAATATTGCCTAGATTTATAGAAAACTCAGTTTTTGGCATTGCCCCATAGGCATAAGTCGAAAGTAATTAAGTTGTTTGACTATTCATAAGTATACAACTGATGCCGCCACTTACCAATCTACCAGGACCTAAGCCTCTCACTCTGACACGAACTGTTTTAAATCCTCTTTCCATCACTTTCTACAAAAAAGTAATTTTAAAATTTATCAAGAACCATATTTCTCTAATTTTACCGTTCCAATAGTTAGAGCAGTTGCTTGTGCTGCTACATTGGTTCCTTTTTTGGCATTTTTAAAGCCTTCTACACCACAAGATCGAATCAAATTAGGTACACCTGAAATTTGGCTGAATAATCATCTTATTTTTTGGAAAACATATACCACAGTTACCTTTTGCATCTGTAAAGCTGACAATTGTGTTATTTGGTGATACTCTAATATTGAATATAGGTAGATCTTTGAAAGGTACCCCATTGAACAGTCTATTTGGCAGGTCCAGTGTTGGAAATATATCTTTGCTGAAATTGCTAGATTTGTACGTTATTATTTTTAATGTACATTTACTTACTGTCCTGTCAAAGAATCAATATCAACTGCTTTCTCACCAGCTGTACCTTCATCAAGAGTAGGTACAGATCTCAACATTTCTCTTCGGTCAGTTACTTCCCTACATTGCACTGAACTTACAGATAGAGGAGCTTTGCATGTTTGTGTCACACTTTTTAAGGTAATGTTTTTTAAAAGCTGTAGAGCTTGGTAGCTAAACATTTTCAAATAACTATAGAATTCTTTCGGATGAAAGATTGAATTGAAAGTTATGACCACAAGTTTATGAGCAAAAATTATAGGTTAAGATTTTTTGACATTTGCATTTTTTCGTTCACGTCGACAGTGTTGCCGAACCTGTTTTCAGAAAGTAGGTAGATTAAGGCCATAAATAGGTAAGATTGTAACATGCAAATGGTAAAAGAGTAAATATGAAATAGTAGCCTGTGTAGTGATTAACATTAAATTGAAACGATTTTTTTTAAATGGAACATCCTTTAGCATATTGTATTCAAGAGGTGAGGTTTCAATACAGGGTGTCCGCAAAGTTGGGGTTTTCCTTTACACGACGTGTAGATCTTGAAAACATAAGCAATTTTTCTTAGTACCTTAAACACCAATGTCTTAAGGGAACCGAGATAAAGGGCTCTGCAACATCAAAAATATCTGAATACCGTCCTGTAGCCGCGACTCGCGATATCCCCAACTGGTACTAGGACACTAGCTCAACCCGACGACAGACTGGGTCGGGGGTCGGGGTCAGTGTGTCAGGTCAGTATGCAACCTTTAACCGACGGTTACGGTCACGCGTGTGAAGGTAAACGAACTCATATAATCGATTGCGTTTCAAAAAACAACAAGCACTAGAGACGTGGCTAGAGAATTGCAAGTATCAAAAACTAAAGTGTGACAAACGCTGCGTGAAGAGGGGCTGTATCCGTTTTACGTCCAACGTGTACAAGCCCTTCAACCTGACAATTTTCCAGCAAGAGTGCGGTTTTGTGAGTGGTTGTTGCATCAACATGACAATAATCCGGACTTTTTGAAGTGCTTATTGGTGACAGACGAATCTACGTTCACGCGTAATGGGGTGAATAACTTTCGCAACACTTATGTTTGGTCAGTAGAAAAACCGCACGCCGTCCGTCGGGCACATTTTCAACAAACATTTTCGGTGAATGTTTGGGCTGGCATGGTGAACGGTATGCTCATTGGACCATTTATTTTCCCAAATCGATTGGACTGGATGCAATACCTAGACTGTTTACGTCTGCTCGGTAGCGCATCAGCTGATTTCATTTTCTGTTGGAGCGGTATGATTTCGGGCAGAGACGTACTTAGCCCTTCTAGTCAACTGGAGAGTGAGTACTTTTTCCTTTATTTTTTTTACTTGGTCGCCCTCGTTTCACTACACATTATCTTTGTTATTTCAAGGGTAGTTGTTTCTGAAAAGGAAAACCCCAACTTTGCGGACACCCTGTATATGTATATGATAGAGAGTAGGAAGTTTTGAAGTTTCAATGACGATGATGATGTTGTGTGCATATAACGTATTCATTATATTTTCTTACATTTTCTTGTATTCACCCTGTATAACGGGATATAGCATATTATATGGTTCTTATTCCGGTAATAATTTCTCTTTTTCGATATTTATTCGTTGTTTTTCTACAATTACTTGAAATTTCGTCATATTGCCAAAAGTAGTCTTATAGAATATGTAGAAGGGATATGTACCTATAGTTAAAATCACGAAAGATGACTATTACGTCATACCATAAATTGTACTGAAGTAATCAATGAACGTACGTCGATGATAAAATCACGATATCAGGAACACAATGACAACAAATTTTATGATTTTGCGAAGTTAGGTTATTTCACTGTTTATTTTTATTTTCATTTTATTTCATGGCTTTGAGCGATACCTTAATAATAATTTTGGTGGGGAGTTTTTGTTCTGAAAATAACAGTTATAGTAGAATACCTTAAGACAGGAATACCAAAGACCAAAGTATTATTTGAAAACAACCGAACCTGCTTTAACATAACCTAACTACTCATCTTTCAAATATGATCGATCATGCAACATGAAAACATCGTCTATCTCTGTCGGATATTATACAAATTAACAATACAGTTTGTTTAGACAATAAAATTCTGTTTGTCTCTGTCTAACATATCTGAAAGTTCATTAAAAATATTCACAAATCGCTGTCGTTTGTCTTTGCTGCAGATTAAAATGATGACGTAATCGTCATCTTTCGTGATTTCGACTATAGTTTGTTCTAGAATGATTTAAGAAACAAATTTGTGGTATTTTTACCATTGTGATCTCCAAAACGGTAATTGAATCGTCGCAAAGGTGTGAATTTATACATTTCAGAAAACGCTTTGGAAAAGTTTTGACTCTTCTAGTATCTCCAGAGATGTACGGAAAATGGAACAAATCTTCCCAAAATCGTTTCTATTTGTTAAAACTAAACTGCACATTGTCATGGCCTCTTTTTGATCTCTGCAAAGTGGCATAAATAGAGCATAAATATGATCTTTTGTTTCTTATCCCCCGTATCAACTTTGATATTTCTTACGTATGTCATTTTTGCATAGACGGATAGCTTTCAATTCTGACTTTGAATATTACAGCATGTCTTACATTTCTTAAGTAACCCTTGAAATTATCATATAATCAATTATTCCATACAATATCAAAAATAACGCATTGATATAAAACTTCAAGTGCCTAACTTCATATAGTTGGTTTAAACTCATTGAACGAGAAACAAGATAATGTAATTCATTTACATTATGTAAGGGTAATTTGTAGACAATGTGGATGTATGAAATGTCTTGTTTCGGACTAAAGCCAGGAAAAAAATAGAAACGACTTGGAGTACATTGGGAAATATGTAGTTTGAATTTCCAAACGGTCTAAGTTCCATTTTTTTTATTTACCTACGCAACTCGCCCTCGTATTCCGCGTTGCTCAGTCGAATGTCACAAGATCGTATTTACTGTGATCCCTCAATATATACTAAGTGACATATACCTCCGAACACCCAGTTTAAATGGTTTTATTTTAATAAAAGTTGGTGAATGTATTTATCTTACTGTAAATAACAAGTGAGAAAATTTTCAGCCTTATCAGTTGGACATTCCGGTTTTTATACTGCTTTTTTTTAATTCACTAACGCTCTAAAAATGAATATTTCAGCCGCAGTAAAGAATCGACGTTGGCGGATTTTGGTTCTTGACATTATTTATGATCGGTTACGATGCCTAGAGTACGGAGACCTGTACGATTTCGTCAACTTAGTGAGTTTGATAGGGGCCGTATAGTGGGACTTCGGGAAGCTGGACTTTCTTTTCGGGCGATTGCAGTTAGAGTGCAAAGAAGTGTAGACACTGTGGTTAGGTGTTGTCAGACATGGATTCGAGAAGGCCGTACGCAAGGAGCCAGGGGCACTGGACGCCGCCGTAGAACAACAGACCGTGAAGATCGCCGCCTAAGATTATTGGCCTTAAGGGACCGTTTCTCCACTACCAGGTCCATTGCAAATGAATGGTTTGCAGAACACGGAAGACCTACTGGCATGCGAAGTGTTTACCGACGAATGAGAAGTTTTGGCTTGTTTTCATACCGGCCACACTGGGTCCTCCCTTTAACTCGAGAACACCGACGTAATCGCCTTGAGTGGTGCAGACAACGGTCACTCTGGGATCAGGAATGGAACAGTATTGTTTTTAGTGACGAGTCTCGATTTTGTTTAGGCATGCACGATGGTCGTGCCAGGATTAGAAGGCGACGTGGTGAAAGGAGGAATCCACAGTTTTTTGTTGAAAGACATGTTCATCACACTGTTGGAGTTATGGTTTGGGGTGCTATAGCTTATGGTTCCAGGTCACCTTTAATCTTCATCAGAGGTAACATGAACGCGCAGCGTTATATCCACGAAGTTCTAGAACCTCATCTTTTACCATATCTTGACACCCTGGCAGATCCAACTTTCCAACAAGATAATGCCCGACCACATGTTGCAAGAGTCACAATAGACTTCTTCCAACATAATGATGTCACATTGTTACCATGGCCACCAAGATCTCCCGACTTATCCCCAATTGAGCACGTGTGGGATATGATGGGTAGGAGATTGCTCAATTTGCAACGTCATCCTCAGACTTTAGAAGCACTTCGAGAGGAGTTGGTGGTTGCCTGTATGAGATACCACAGGAGGACATTGACCACCTGATCAGAAGCATGCCTAGGCGCGTTGGAGAATGCGTAGCACGTCAGGGTGCATCCACACATTATTAAAGGTCAAAGGGCTTTAAAGCAGTGCAATCATTTTGAAATTTTGATCATTTACTTATTATGCTTCATTAAGTACTTATACAAAATTTTATTAAAATAAAACCATTTAAACTGGGTGTTCGGATTTAACATATATGTCACTTAGTATATTTATCATGAGATATTGATATTTATTGAATGTGTAGCCTGGACTTCAGTAATTATTGATGCGTAATATTACGGGGAAGTATACTGATGGAACGGATCACAGTAAATACTGATCGTGTGAAATTCGCTTCACCGTTTCTGAGATCCCAAAGGCGAGGTCTGAATTTGATAAACACGTAGCATATAAAGTGTTTTTAACTAAATTAAGTTTATATCTAACATAGATTTTAACAAATCCTAGTAATTTCTCATATAATAGACATTGATTCAGTTTGTGGAGAAACACTACCTACATCAATAATTTATTTTATGTAAAAAATGTTCTCTTCATTTAATGTTTGCGAAGCTAGGGTACGCCCTTGACTAGCACCCAAATTCAGTAGATTTTTTAGGATTAAGAATGCATAAAACTTCTGAAAGTATTTATAATTGTACATATTTTTTTTAAAAAGTGCATAAAGTTAAGAATTCTATAATACTAGAAGAATGCATAAAACTTCTGAAAGTATTTATAATTGTACATATTTTTGTTAAAAAGTGCAAACAGTTAAGAATTCTATATTACTGATTCTGCCAAAACAATATTAATACAGACTATTTATTATCGAAGGCTTAGGCCCGTATCGTCAGTCGTCCCTACAATTGTAGGGCGCGTTTATGGCCTTCATGATTGTCATACTCCTTTCTCTCCTTCAAAAATTTCTAGATTACACTTGTCCCGTGTCAGCGTCAGCGCTCTCCTATTGTGAAGATATGTTTCCTTTTTAAATTGTAGGAAATTTCAGGCTGATAAAACATGATATAACTCAAAAGCAAGCACAATTTGATGCAAATAGATGTTTGTGACATAACCTCAAAATAGACTTCTGACACGGAGAAGTGTAAAACTATGACAATCAAGGAGGCCATAAAGGCGCCCTACAATTGTAGGGACGACTGACGATACGGGCTTTAAATACGTAAATTGAAAAATGACGTCAACTATTTGCACATAAGCCTACTTAGCAAACAAATTTTATATTTGATCGTTTTTTTTGACATTTTACGCAATAACCCTGCCGTTCTGTTATGGAATCATATCAATTCTAAATACCCAAATTTTCTACTTCATGATCCATTATACAACAGAACAGCCGATATCGACGTTGACATTTAGTGACCAAGTGGTCATATTTGACAGAACCAGTGACCAGCCGGATCAACTGAAGCGACTTCACCTATTATTATCGTTAAAAAATGCTGAAACTCATTCAGTTTTTTTACATTCCCCTTCCATCTTACACACACATGACTCTAGTCTAGTGTATTGTTTTTTTATAAATTAGGTAGATTTAAGGCTGAGGCTGGTATACTGGAAGACTGTAGGCAAAATAGGTAGATGTACCTAAAAGATGGTAGATATGACAACGCTGCACTCGCGGTCCTACCAGGAGCTCGTTCAAAAGGCACAGGCGAAGCTAAACTGGCTGCCTAAGTTGGGAGAAGAGCTCAAATAAGAATTCAAAACTGTTCCTCAGATTCAAATACATAATCGATCATTTATTTCACAAAGGTGAAATAATTGAATAATAGCTTCTGATACGATCATGATCTATCCTACAATCTTTGTGAGCCTATCGCCTATATCACCCCTCAATTTATTATCAGTGCGCAAGTGCGCAATACGGCCTATCCGCAGAATCTTTGAAAGTTCAGTTCACCCTCATTAGAAATGCCGGTAACAGTGTTTGTTTGGTTTTTGATTACCTGTAAGGGTATGTAGCTGTTACTATTTTGAACATTTTACAAATAAACCTACTTTTTCAACTATCATATAATTTTTGAACATCTATTGTTATTTTTCACACGCCGTGTTTTCCGTGTTATTAATATTTTATTAAACTATTTACTTTATGTAATATTTTACTTTTCTGGCCGCGAATGTTTGGTAAAACGTCGGACTGCATGCCCGTTTTGGTTTTATTCTAACCGCGTAATTTCAGCAATCGCTGCATCAACTTTTATACAGAGTGTGCTACAATAAGATGACAATATCGGACGCAAGCCGTTTGCACGGTAGCTCGTTACATAAACAAAACCCTCCGGTGGCACCCTTGTCTGATTTCGTTAAAATGAGCCGTTTTCGAGAAAAAAATACTTCAGGCTCGTATAACATTGCAAACATTTCGAAAAAATCTAAAACTCGATTAGCGACCTGAAAATTGATATCCTCTGTCGAAATTCAGCAATATACTGGATCCAACATCAAAGTTGATAGATGTATACATTTTCTATATACAGTGAGAGGTCCTTACTGGTTGCTACCATGTTTGGTTGAATCCAATGACGTTCAAAACTTTAAGTTAAGAAAAGTTTCTTATTAGCGTTTTACGGGGCTTGTACCTCCGTAGGGCAGCCCCGTTGGACACTTTTATATAGGACCGTGTGGCATTATTTTTGTTTCATGTGCACCCAAGAGATTGCCATTTTTTGTTCAAGGACACCCTGCATAATTTAGAAAGTCATGTGAAAATCGGTCTGAAATGATATCGATTGTTTTGCAACTTTCTGATAACTTTTGGGTGTAGATAATATAATTCCAGGAGGGATCAAGATCTGAAAGTTCAAAATTTTGTTTTTTTTTTGCTGATGCTCATTTAAGGTCGTAGTAAAAATTTGAAAGGATTAGAGCTTTTTAAAATTGGTAGGACTCATTTTTTAGATACACGTAGTGATCAATAATACCTAATAATCAACGAATACATTTCGTGAGCACTAAGGATTCATCAATGTATCAATCTATCCACAAAATCAAATCCATATTCATTTTCTTTTAAATGAAAAATCTTGGCTAGCGATTTTTTAAAAACAGAGCGGCTGATCAAGTTTCTTGTAATATTTCACCGGATACCTATTTCGAATACCGTAGACGGCATCGATATCCATACATTTTTATCATTTCTTTGCGTGTATATATATATATATATAACCTAATTGAGACGTGGTCATTGTCGTCTAGACCAGTTAGGTGAAAAATTAAAGCTTCTGCCTTTTGTTGGGTACTTCGACAAAAATTTTAAGCAAGGAGGACTCTTTATACTTTTTTCATTATTCTCTCTAGCTTTCAATGGACTTTGCCATCATCATCAGGAGCTGCAATTACATTGATAACAGTAGCAACAATAGTGTAAAATGAATTTAAATTAACTTAACTTACAGTAGTAAGAGATGTAAACAACAATTAGCAACATCCTCACATACTACTGTAAGTTAAGTTAATTTAAATTCATTTTACACTATTGTTGCTACTGTTATCAATGTAATTGCAGCTCCTGATGATGATGGCAAAGACCATTGAAAGCTAGAGAGAATAATAAAAAAAGTATAAAGAGTCCTGCTTGCTTAAAATGTTTGTCGAAGTACCCATCAAAAGGCAGAAAGCTTTAATTTTTCACCTATATATATATATATATGCATGTATACAGTGCTTTTATTAACATTCTTCTATTTGTTGAACGGGTCAAGTCAGCAAGCCGAATTCGGGGCAATGAAATTAGTGAATTAAAATTAAACATTGGAGTAAAAATGGAATATTTCACTTCACACGCTTACTGACGTGGAAGTACGAGGATTATAATCGCGAAACTTCTCGAAAATAAGATAAGTTTTTTGGATGTTTTATATGTACATCACGGAGACCATGCACTCACTTCCGTCGGTCTGTCCCCAAATCTAATAACCGTCTATAATTTGAGAAGTACCTCTCAAATTTCTTTTTGACGCTCTAGCATCATGATCATTTTAGAAAACAAAAATGCAGAGGTAAAAAAACTTGGCGGTGGATGGTTTATCTCAATTTTTGGATGTTTGTACATCTATGTACTCCCAGGCTAATGACTTTACGTACTTAGTAGATATATTTCATACATCATATATTTATGCATTAGCCCTCAAGAAATAGGACTTATTAAATGCATGTATATAAATTTTGCCTAAAAAATAGCAATCGTAGTTAAAAATAGTGCTAACGAGACAAAATCAAAAAGTTTATAGTATTTACTTCTTTCAAAACTCCCGTTCAATCTTTTGTTCCTCTTATGATTTCATCTCTCTTCAACATCCAGCAGTAGTTTGTCATTATGTTTGCTACCCACTTTCCTTGGTGGTCTGCTCTCTCTCCTTGTATCTCGTTTTAGGTTCCAAGATTCTCCATGAAAAAGTCAATTGAGAATATAGAAAATGTAACTTTATACTCATATTGCAACCTAGCTCACGGAAATCGCTGAGCACTATACAGGGTGTTACTTAATGATAGGTCGTAATTACAAGCGAACAATCCTGAAATAAATTCAAGTAGAAAAGTTCGTCTTTTATGAATACCTCAAATATTCTTGTACCGATTAGATTGTTTGGCTTAGGAAAACGAAATATGTACTTACATCGATTTCGATTTTTAAATGCGCAAGCTGGATGTACAGGGTGTTCCTTAATGATATGCGAATATTTAAGGGTGTGAATCTACATGAAAAATTAATCTTAGTTTGCTTTATAAACTATGGTCCAAAAATGTTTCCTTACAAAAACTCGGGATGTTGAAGTTTTAGGAAAAAATGGAAATTAATTAATATTTTCAGAACCGCTTCAGATATTTCACTGATATTTGGTACGTAGTGATAGTTAATAAAGTTACATATTTTTCAATGCGAAAATAATTTTTAGCTTTAACAGTGTTCAGAGTTCCCCGCTCAATTTAAAATAAACGATCTCTCTTGAATTGTTTTCCTTCGATGCGCCATTTTTGAGAGAAAAAATAAAAACCGTTCTATCGTCTAACTTGCAAAATTATTATTAATTTAATTGGAAAAATTAAACACATTAGGGGTAATGAACAACAACAACTGACAACATAAACATAACATTAAAACCAACGAAATGATCACAAAAATTGTTGAAAATGGCCCCCTTAACATAGTATGCATGCTTCCGCCCTCCTCATGGAATTGCGCACTCGTTGAAATGTCCCTGGAGTGTTTTTTATTCTATCACAAGCTGCAACTATTCTTTCTCTTTATTTTTCTACAGTGTTAATAGGACTTGTGTACACTAGTGTCTTAAGATAGCCCCACAAAATGAAATCTAAACTGTTGAGGTCTGGGGACCTTGGTGGCCATTCTTGGGGACTACCGCGGCCAATCCAACAATTTGGATAAACAGTTTGTAAATAATTACGAACCGCTATACTGAAATGCGCTGGTGCACCATCATGCATGTACCACATATTGTTTCTTATTACTTAAAAAATCCACTAAAATTCTCCAAACAATTTGATGGCAAATATTTAAGTGTCTGGCGATCTTTCTCGTACTCGTTTCAGGATGTTCTTCGACTTCGTGCAGCACTGCTTCCTCAATTTCAGGTGTTCTCACACTTAGAGGTCTACTTAGAGATGTTCCTTCTCAGACAGAACCAGTTTCAATAAGATGACGAAGAATATTAGAAAAGGTTCGACTATCTGGCAAAGCACGATCGGGATATCTCTGGTGATAAATCCATCTGGCTGGCTCACCATTACCGTCAGCAAGGCCATATACGTAATGCATTTCCGCCATTTCGGCATTTAAATAATTCACCATTATTACAAAGATTGTAAAAACTAAATAATGAAAAAGATGTCATAGCAAACAGATTTGAATAACATAGACTTGTCAGATGTCAAACTCCAGTGACATATTCCAGAGCAACTAGATATTTATTGCTAAATTGCATTCTTCAATTATTACATTAATTTTATTTTTTACTCAAAAATGGCCCATCGAAGGAAACAATTCAGGAAAGAGCATTTGTTTTAAATTGAACGGGGAATTCAAAAATAATTTTTATTTGGCAAGTAACCTACCATTTTTTTCCTTGAAAAATATCGAAGTCAATACCGGTACGCACGTCACCGTTAAAGCTAAACATTATTTATGCATTGAAAAATATGCAACTTTATTAACTTTCACTACGTACTAAATATCAGTGAAATATCTGAAGCGGTTCTGAAAATATTAATTAATTTCCATTTTTTTCCTAAAACTTCAACACCCTTTGTAAGGAAATATTTTTGGACCATAGTTTATATAGCAAACTAACATTAATTTTTAATCTAGATTCACGCCCTTAAACATTTGCATATCATTAATATAAAATAGAATAAAAAAAGTGAGGAAATTATAACCAATCTGTCATAGAAATCTGTATCTCTCATACAATTGCATTGCTCGATTTTTTAATCGCAGTTCATATGGCGTAAGGTTTGGAAATAAACTCCATATCTAATTGATGACAGAACTGCGTGGGAAGTAAAGGGTTCAAACGCAAGAGTTACTTAGCTTATATTCTCATTTATCAACGCCCCTCAACTGTCCATCTTACAACCCGCGACCTGAACAGAACTCTAATTCAAAACGTTAGTAACGTTAATTAATACACCCGTCTAAAATTGAAAAGCTGGCACAGTTTCGGAGCCGACCAAAAGAGAAACAAAAGTGAAGAAAAAACAGGAAGTAGGTATGTTTCGTTGTTTTTGTGTTTCGAAAGTGGGTAATTAAAAAATCCGTCTATTTGACGCACGATTTTTCAACGAACTTCGGATGTTTCGATACTTACGCACAAATATACTCAGTCACATTAGAAGTGTTACATGCAGAAAAAATAATTTATTCAACATGATTTTTTGGCAATGAACGATAACATTCTCACGAAATTTTATTGCCAAGTAATAAGAAAAAAAATA